CCCGAGACCATCCGTGCCGCCGTGACCAAAACCGGCGCAAAGCATGCCTTCATCTACATGTCCTTTGGGCCACCCGAGGAGACCCGATCGGCCGTCGAGACACTCAAGGCTGCAGGCGTCGAGTTTGTCGTCTATTTGAGCAGCCTCAGCGTTCAGGGTGACACAACAAGCATTCCGCCGTCTGAGATCATTCCCTGGTTGCATGCGCAGGGAGAGATCGCACTCGCCAACCTGTTTGGCGCCGACGGCTACGCCGCGGTCCGCCCGGGCGTTTTTGTGTCCAACCTGCTGCAGTACAAGGACGCCATCGCTGCCGGCGTGGTCAAAGTCCCGTCGCCTGGTGCGAATTGCGACTACATCTCGCCAGAGGACATTGGTAGCGTTTGCGGAGCTGTCCTCGCGAAGGGGTCTCTGGCCCTCGATCGCCAGAAGACCGACAAGAACGCAATCTATCTCTGCGGTCCGCGCCGCATTTCCCAGAGAGATGCTATTCAACTTATTGGCAAGGCGGTTGACAAGGATGTGACGGTCGAGGACTTTGCGGATGAAGAGGAGGCTGTCGAAAACATCACAAAGGGTCTTGGACTGCCAGAGGTCGGAGCAAGGTACCTTTGGAAGGGTATGAAGGATTTGGAAGAAACGGATTCCATGTACAAAAACATCGACTATGAAGAGGCGGTTGCCAATGTTCAAAAGTATGGTGGGAAAGTGGCGACTGATATTCAGGATTGGGTCGAGACGAACAAGGCGAAGTTTATCTAGAAATAGGTTCTTAAGAGATGGTTAAATGAGAACTTGAAAATCTTTGTTTCATTCCATGGTAGAATAGAAGTTAGAAGTGCTGTAAATTTGACATCATCGATTGTTTTCCCATTGTGATGTTTTGGGCCATCCAAGTTCGACAAGTGTTTAGCTAGTGTCTTGTTTTCATCTAGCACCAATTCTAAGCACTTTTGAGCAGACAAGAGCTTCGTACGCCCAGAGAACTTCTTCTGGGACCCGACACTTGGTTCTTTTTTACTTATCTACCTCAGTTGTCGTGTAGATACTTCACCTCCTTGCCAACATTCGGGCCCTTGACAAGCCCCAGCTGCTGCAGAGCAGTGAGGGCACCCTCCTCGCCCGTCTCATCTACAATTTTGCCGTCCTTGAGGGTGAAAATGGTGATGCCCGAAAAAAACATCTTCTTTCCCGTGTTCGACGTCGCTAACTCTCCCACAACAAAGTCTGAAAACGCGACACCTGTGTGTGTTCCACCTCCGATCCATCGACCGACCACGTAAGGTCCGCTGGCAATGAGGGGATGCTGATAGGCGTGGAACGAAATGTTGGGGAATGCCTGTTGATGGAAACAATCAGCACCTCCTCTACATCCTTTGTTTCACGATTAGGATTGTACGCACCCCCTTGAACTCAGCCAACATATTCTTGGCCGCTTCTTTGCCGTATCGTGGACCATGCATGGGGTAGTTGATGACAAAATTGTCCGCGCAAAGCTTGTCGACAATCTCCGGATTTGCCTTGCCCCAATACTCGGAGAAGTACTCCGAGATAACGGCGAGGTTCTTTTGTTCTTCAGGAGTCGGCATCTTGGGTGAAGATGAAAGAATTGAGACGAACTTAAATGTGAACGTTCGAAGACTTGTAGAGTCGGTGTCTGCGGAAGTCGGCGATGACTTGCTATTCTCATCAGCGACTTGGGGTTTGACAGATTTATACTCGACTGGGTCCCCTCTCGACCTCCACACTTGTTGTCAACGCTGGTACTTTGCAACCTTCAGCGGTCTGCATCTTCGGAACTAGGTTTTGCCTTTGTGCTCTTGAATTGGCCAATACTCTCCCATATCTGAGCCTTGCTGTGACGACAGGCCACAACCATGTGCCATCTGCCGCTCCATGCCCGTCCCATTGATCAGACGGAGAGCAATGATACCCACAATGACCCTTCCAATTGATCAGATTGACCGCACCATATCCACAACTATCCGGGCTCCTCGCGACAATACCTGCCCATTGCCGCCCTTATTGATCACATTGACCGCAGTGATGCCCACAAGGAGCGTAACTTGATCTTCGCCCTCGAATGATGAACTTCGTTAAAGTCGTGAGCTACCACGGTTTCAAAATCAGGCATCCTCTAAGAATTACCCATTCTCTCCGTTCCCGCCCCTCCTCATTGTCCCCAACTTACCGGCCTCCGTCGAGACATCTCACCATGTCCGCTAAAGAATTTACTGTCTACAAAGGCTCGCCAAATGGCCAAGTCTTCAAATCCAGCACCTCCAAGGGACCACCGCAAAACCAGCAGGTTCTCATTCGAATCACACACTCTGGTGTCTGTGGTACCGATGAGCACTACAAAACGCAAGATATGGTTTTGGGACATGAAGGAGTGGGCATCGTGGAAGCTGTCGGCGACCAAGTTGCTTCGTTGAAGGTGTAAGTGTGCCACAGGGGTTACTCCAACTTTCCCCCCTGCCCTGGCTAATCAACAACTAATAACTAACATATCACTCATCACAGCGGCGACCGTGTAGGCTGGGGCTACTGCCACGGGAGCTGCAAACACTGCTCATTCTGTCTAACCGGCAAAGACCTGTACTGCGCCGACCGCCGGCTCTACGGCTTCACCGATCTCGACCAGGGCTCGTTCGCATCCCACGCCGTGTGGGACGAAGACTTTGTCTATCCCGTTCCTGAATCCCTCAGCTCGGAAGCCGCGGCACCCCTCATGTGCGCCGGCGCATCCGTGTACAGCGCCATGCAACGTGCCAGCGTCCGCCCGTCGCAACGCGTTGGGATCATTGGCATGGGCGGCCTCGGCCATCTCGCCATTCAGTTCGCTGCTAAGATGGGGTGTGAGACGGTCGTGTTTTCGCACTCGACAAACAAAAAGGATGAGGCGTCATCATTCGGGACATCTGAGTTCTACGTGGTCGGCCGCAATGCGGACTCCGCACCGCCCGTTGATTGTCTGCTCGTCACCTCGGCTCAGCAACCATCCTGGGCGGAGGCCATCCGATGGACCAAGAGAGGGGGCACCATCAGCGTCATGACGGTTGATACCGTGGAGCTCAACTTCAAGGAGCTGCCGTTATTGGATTTGATGCTGAATGCGGTGGAAATCCAGGGCAGCTTACCAGCTCCTCGAGAGATGCACAGGGAGATGCTGAGGTTCGCTGCATTTCACGGGATTCGGCCTAAGGTTGAGACGTTCAAGTTGGATGAGGATGGCATTGCTGCTGCCATGCAGAGGCTGAGGGAGGGCAAGGTGCGATATCGTGCTGTCTTGGTTGCTTGATTTCGCAAGGCTATAGCGCAAGGTCGATGGGAAAGGTAAGAGAAATGCTGCTTGTACATATCCTCTCCCTTGTCTCAATCAGATCTGATTTGGTGCACAGCCGCCTTCAATTTTTGGAAGATCATCCCGGCACCCCCTCAGATCACATCCCATCAACTCACCACCCCTCCTCTTTCTCCTTCACCAACCGCTCCCTCTCCGCAACCATCCTTTCCTGCTCCTCCAACAACATCACAATCCTCTCCCGCGCCCGATCCAAGACCTTCGCCTTATTGATCCCCCTTCCGCTGCCACCTCCCTTTCCACCATAAGCCTTGGCCTTTCGTTTCTTCCCACACCCTGGGGCAGGCCTATGGGGTTGATCTTGGTTGTCGTCATCATCTTCCTCATTAAAGTCCAAGTCCATATGCAAGACGGCATGCAAAGCCGCAAACTCGCCCGTGAGCTTGTCGCGGTAGCGCTTGCCGACGTCGTTTTGCCATTGGCGGATGTCCTGCGTGGATTTCTTTTTGGGAGGGGGTCGGGCTGCGGTGGTTCTGTGTCTCTTGTTGGTGGCAACAGGAGAAGGCGAATATGAAGAATCGTTCGGGGTATCTAAGCTCGGAGTGGATGTCCCTAACGAGATGCCTGAGTTGGATGGCGGCAAGGTGTTGGTGACGGTGTGACTGGTGATACTGTCCCTGGTTGGGGCTTTGGCTCTGGTGTCGATGGTGAGATTGGGTCTGATGCGCTTGAAATTCCTCAGAGCTTCCATGGGCTGGATGACCTCCGAGTGGGTTCCTCCTCCTGGCGCAATGTCAAATGGCACCCTGTCTTCGCTTTCTGGCGCGGCATCGATCAGGCTTGTCGACATTCTGACTCCCTTAGAATAACAGATCAATGGGTGTTCTGGGAAGCCCCAGTCGACCTTTTGGTAGGCGTTTGACGTCGCTTGGGGTTGAGTACCCGGCTCAGCCGCATCGAAACGAGGGGTGGTGTCGTGCGGAGGTTGCCGCTGGGCATTCCATGTGGCGTCGTGTCCGGGGCCGTTGGTGGCCGGGAACGGCTCCCCGTAAAAGATCTGCGATGCGGTCCTGTCGTCGCCAGAGTTGCAGGGAAAGAAAGGAAGCGGTGTGGGAACAAAACCGACGCTGGGTTGTTCGATACTCTCCGACGGTAGGCCCATGAAATTGGCAACGCCAGATCCAGGCATTCCTGGTTCAAAGATGGACCAATCCATTTTTTAGACTCTCGGTCCTGAACGCCCTGGAGCAAAAGCACGTCTAGTAACGGCGGCGACCAGGATGCGTCTCAAGACCGAGTCACCAAGGGAGAAACGGCAGAAGAGTTGAGTGAGGATTTGCCCCAAAACCCAGGACAGCTTGACTACATCATGTTTCTGGCTGACAACGGCGAAGCTGCCTGCCAAGGCGCTGTTGGCAGCTGATCGCCGTTGCTTCTGCCGTTTTAGGGGCAGTTGACGCCAGGCCTGCAGGAAGGATTTTGCCCGTGAAAGCGTGCCAGGGTTAGGGTGCTCTGTTGCTGACAGTTGGGAGAAAAGAGTAGGTAACTCACAGTCAGCTTTCAAGACCTGGAAGACAGCTGAGGAAAGCTTCATGGGGCAACAAGGGGTTTAAGCAGCCCTGGCAAAAAGAAGATGCCAAAGCAACCGGACAAAAAAGAATTAGCTCATCCAGTGGTTGGATGAGTTGGAACAGCTGGGCTCAATCGGGGATCGAACCCGAGACCTCGCACATCTTTGTTCGCCTGTTTCCAAGCGAGGGAGAGAAATCAACCCGAAGCACGAATCATACCACTAGACCATTGAGCCGGATCTGTATCCAGTTGTGGAATCAGCACCGGATAGTGTGGTTCATAGGCGGACGTTGGTGGAGTTGACCCCACAACATCTCCGTTTTGAGTCACTTTGGGTGAGATGAAGGGCCAAGGAATGCGGCTGATGTCAGAAAGAAGGGAGGGTTCTTTAATCTTTGACTGATGGAGAAAAACAAGGCGTTGGTCGTGGCCGACAGCGTTGGTCTGCTTGGCTTTGGTGTTGTGATAACTATCGCCGTCTGCCAGGACAGCCCTTGAAAATGATGCCGTAAACAACGATGCTCCAGCTTGTTTGCTCCCGACATTGTGGAGCCTCCATCTACTGTACTTCAATCCGGCATCAATGCTTTTATCTCCGGTTTGGGCCCCTTACACAGCTTCCGGTGACATCACAAAGGTTATTTCGTACAGGTCTCCGCAATCAACCCCGAGGCGAACCGTGTTTCCAGAACCCAAAACAACAAGTAGTATTCCGCAATCTCAAGAACGCTCGAGTCCTCAACCATCCTATCCCCCACCATGTCCTCCAAACACAACTCATACGCCCCCGGCCACGCCGCATCCCAAGTCCAGCACCACGAATGGCGCACAGCGGAAAATTCGGCCCCCACCTCCTCCCCACCTGAAGACCGCCGTCTCCCAAAACCCCTCCCTCACCCTCCTCGACATCGGCGCGGGCTCCGGCACCATTTCCGCCTCGCTTGCCAAATATCTCCTCCAGGGCCACGTCCTGGCAACCGACATCTCGGACTCGATTCTCGCGCGCGCAAAGGAGTATGCCGACTCCCAGGGTGTGACCAACATTTCGTTTCAGAAAGCCAGCGTCTACGAGCTTCCGTTTGAGGACAGCAAGTTTGACGTCGTGCACGCCCACCAGGTTCTATGCCACCTCGACTCGCCTGTGGAGGCGGTGAAAGAGATGCTGAGAGTGGTAAAGCCCGGGGGGTTGCTGGCGCTGAGGGAGTGGGACCCCCGGATGTGGTGCTTTTGGCCAGAGACGAAGGGGTTGCTCGAGTATCAGGAGCTCATGGTTGCGGTAATGCTGGCGAACGGGGGGCAGGATAAGGCAGGGAGGAGGTTGGTGTCGTGGGTTATGGGTGCCGGGGTGGAGAGGGAGAGGATCGAGGCAAGCTTTGGGACCTGGTGCTACAGCAAGCCGGAGGATCGGAGGGCGTGGGGTGAGTTGTCGTCCTTCCGGATTGCTTCTAGTTCGAAACTAATTACTTCAGGAAATTCCATGATCGAACGGTTGCGCGATGGACCGCTGCGTGAAAAGGGGATCGAGCTGGGTCTAACGACGGAGAAGGGGGTCGAGGAGATGATCAAGGCATGGGAGGAGTGGATCGAGACCTCGGATGCCACACTTGGGATTATGAATGGTGAAATTGTTGCTAAGAAGGCGGTTGTCTAGACATCCCCAAGTGAGATGCTAGTCCCCAAAAATTAGGTGACGCAGGAACAGTAAGGTTCAAAAAAACTGTTTGCTGATACTGGTTAAATGCTACTGGTAGAGCATGGGAATCTAGAAATTTAAGCTTAATTAACTGGTTGATGGAGTCTTCGCCTCCGTCCTCTCTGAGCCATGACCTCTGGCTAGTGTTTCCTTATTGGCTTTGCTCCCAACGCCATCCGATGTAGATACTTTAACTGAGTGGCGAAGCAGGGATAGAGCTCAAGAAGGCGGAGCTACCCTCCGCGTCTTTACCAAGTGACAAGTCGCAGATGCTCGTCCCATGAGGTTTATGTAAAAGCTCTTAAAGAGGAGTAGTTTGAACAAACGCCACGCCTTTTCGGCCGAGGATAAATGCTCCCACATCGTCGACGGTCACACCACACCACTTAACCCCTCCTCAAGACAAAGAACATCACGCAACCATCAAACCACAACCCCTACACAACACTTACCATCACCACTACACAACAATACTTCTCAAAATTTGATCGCCCACAACCCAAACACCATGTGTATCGTCTCTCATAACAACGAGCCCCAGCCGGTAACAACCAACGTCGGGCTGGGCCAATGCGCAGGGTCATCAGCAGCCGGCGCCGAGATTCGTACGTCTTCCCCCGCACTCTTCCCTCTGCCACCTGTCAAGAACCATCGATCCCAGAATCTAACTCTCTCCCTCATCACCAGACATCCACGCCCCGCAGCACACTCTCGTCCCCGCGAATCTCGTAGCCGCAGTCGAGTCCGGTGACGAATGCACATCAGGATTTGACCTACTGTTTGCCACAGGCAGCGGCGACTACTCGCCCTGCGAGGACATGGAGATGGTCATGCAGGAGTTCATCGCGGACCCGATGGGGCGGAGCACGGCGCTGCATCATCTGAGGGAAGAGTGATGGTCGGTCTCGGTTGGGAGGTGTTTTAACGTATTGAAATTCTTTTCCGATGGGGGGCGAGATACGTTACGCGAAAAGTGACGTGGCAGGTCGGCGAGGACTGGAGGTTGGAGGACAAAGTCATTGCGGCGTTTGTGGATCTTGTGGGCGGGGGACAAGGAGAGGGAGCTTGACCCGGAAGCCTATGTCTGATGAGAACCAGATGTATTGAATTAGCAGGGCAAGCACAGACAGATCTTTTGGAATTCCAGAAGGATCTTTCATGGTGGATGTCGACGTGGTGGAGAAAAGAAGTTCACGGTTTCGTCGGGTCGCGACAACTTAAACAGCTTCTCCTTTTACCCTTAGTTGAAAGCAACCATGCCCAGGGGTATTCATCAGTAATAAATACCTAAGCCACCAAGCCGGTCCGGCACACACCATCTTTGGTCCGTACCTGGTATCATACCTCCGTCGTATTAGTGTAACATGCACCGGATCTTCCTTCGTGTCCCATCCATGCAGCTTAATTCGTGCTGCCATTACCCTCTGTGTCAACCTCCATTTTCCCATCCCCGTCCGCCTCCTTGCCCTCCCCATTCTCAACCGCAGTCGCAGCTATGGTGTTGTTCCCACCGCCCAAAAACATCTTTTTGAAGTCCGCGTTGCTCTTTTTACCCTCCGCCTTTGCCCCCTGATAAGTGCCATTGGCCTCCTCTCCAGCCCCTGCACTCTTCTTGACCCCTCCCACAAACCCCAACAACCTCTTCGGCCCCGTCTTCCCACCCGGTCCAGGCCGCTTCACCAGCACCGGCGGAGGCGGCATCAAACCTGCCCCACCCGCAGCCTTCTTCCCCTGCGCTTTAGCCCCGAAGCCGTGGAAGAGGGCTTATCAACTCTATCGACCCTCTTCTCCCCCTTCCCCTTGAACAACTCCGCCACCGTGCCCGTTTTTAACCTCCTGTTCCCACCCTCTTCCTCGCTAACCTGCACCTCAAGCCCGTCAATCGCCATGTTGGCCTTGTTTGCGGCCGCGGCGTTCGCAAACTCGATGATCGCACCGCCGTGTTTGGGGTGCAGGACGAGCTTGACGATGGGGTATTGGTCGGACGTAGCCGAGGATAGGACGCTCCGCAGCCGGGCGTCGTTCATCGTGTCGGGGACGTTGAGCACGGCGATGGTGCGGGCGGCGATGTCGGCTGATGTGGGGTTAGGGGCGGAAGCTGAGGAGAAGGAAGGGCGCGGAGAGGAGGGGAGCCGGCGTCGGGGTGGCGCCGTCGGCGGCGCGGCTGGTGGCGGTAACTTTGGCTGCCGGCGGGCGGGAGAGCTCGACCTTGATGGGGTGTTGGCCAAAGATGAGTTTGTCGAGCGTCTTGATCGCCTCTTGTGCTTCGTCCTTTGTTTCCATCACCACAAAGGCGGTGCCGTGGGAGAGTCCCGCCATGTTGCGCGGCACGCGGACGCTGACGACACGGCCGGCTTTGGCAAACAAACCCCTGACGTCCTCCTCGGAGGTGCCCCGCGGCAAATTGACGATATGTAGCTCGCGCTCCTCGGCTTGGGCGCCGTGGCGCTGCTGGCGGCCAACCGGGTCCGAGAACTTGGCGAGCAGCTTGTACTTGCCAAACTCGATGGGCTTGCCGTTGAGCTTTGTGGCAGCTACGGCGGCAGCGCGGTCGCGGAATGTGACGTAGCAGAAGCGGCGCTTGGTGTTGTACTTGAGGCTGGGGAAGCGGATGCTGTAGATCTCGCCGCAGTTTTTGAACAAGCCGCGCAGGTACTGCTCGTCAGCTTCAGGCGGGTAATTGGTGACGAAGAGGGTGCAGTCGGTCGCGGCGGTTACCTGGATGACGTGGTCGCCGAAGTACTTGTTGTCGCGGAGGAGGGCAGACCTGGCATCCTCGGGGCTGCGGAATTCAACAAGGGCGATGGACGCATCGTCCCGCTTCTGCAGGTCAATGTTGTTGATGTGCCCATACTCGCGGAAAAACTGCTTCAACCTGGTCTGCGTGGCGTCCTTGGGCAGGTTGCTAATCCAGACCGACGTATTCTCGCGATCCCGCTTGAGGTCCTCCCCACCGTGGGTCTCGCTCTTGGCCCGCTTGTTCCTAGCCTCATCCTCGCCGGGCGTGGCCTCGCGTTTCCGCTTGGAACTTGGCGATCCTCCATCGGCGACGTCAGTCATGGACTGGTCAACCGCGGCTGCCTGCGCAGCCTGCTGCTGGGCGATTTGGGCAGCCTGTGCGGCCTGGGCTGCTTCGCGTTCACGGCGCTTGGCGACGCCCTTACGGGTCTTGTAGATGGTATCCTGGGCCTCCCGTAGAGTCTCGGCATATTCATAGTCGTTGCAGTGCTTGAGATAGATCTCCATGATGCGTTCCGGCCAGTCTACGGTCCGAACTTTGAGAGCGCGGGTGAAGACGCGGGTGGCAAAGGTAGGAACCCGCAGGCCCTGAGAATGCGCCGTCGCCGGGGTCGGGCTGCGCGTCTTGCTCCTGGCCGCGGTGAATACCATCATCTCCCACAGATACCAATTGAGCCAAAAGTCGTAGCTATTGGCGTGGAGCTCGACGCGGGACAGTTCGTCCCACACAGCGCGCGCGTTGTCAATATCATCCTTCTTCTCAGTGAGGAATTGAATCAGGATCTTTTCGAGGCGGTAATCGG